AAAGTGCATGGAAAACGCTTACACATGTAACGCCACAAAAGTGATTATCAGAACTAAAACACATTTACAATGTTACTACATAAGAGATTACAGAGGTTTTGAAAATCACAATTGAAGTGCGTTACATTAGATTTGCCCTAGAAGGAGAGCTAAAATTGGCACCAAAAAGATGGTAATGAATTCCCGCATTCAGTAAATCCTCTGAAACATTTTGATCCAAGGGATAGATGTGAGAATAAACCTACTTCCAAGGAAGAACCTGTAATCACCAAAGGTAGGTCACAGCGTCGGCGGAAGGAATTCAACTCCAAATGAGCCTCAGAACGACCAGTGACGGGCTGGAATATGTGCAGCGCCTGGCCGTGAGGCACGAGACGTGAAGACTTAGCGATACATTCCGCCGTCTCCAATTTGTCGCCTGTCAACATCCATACTTTGATGCCGGCGTTTCGAAGTGTCTCTAAGGTCGGACGCACCTGGGAGAGAATTGAAGTAGAAAAGATTTGCTTTTGACACACCGTCAAATGCAACTCCTTCAGTGATGCATGAGAATAAATCAACGTAAACCGATACTTAAAATCTCCTCAATTGGACAGTGAGCCTACACCGGTTTTGTCATAGAGCTGAACAAAAATATAGGGATTGAGTTAAAAAAATTAAAAGAAAATACCACCGATATACACGTAATTTGGAGCAACTGTACTCGAAATTTTCACCAAAGCAACGCTCAAATAAGTTATGTCATTACGAGCTCCTCTGTTAGGTGATCTTTCAGGACGCCAAGACTAGATCATCAGTATCACACTGAAACAAAGAGCAATATTCAAAACCTCATAGCTCTTGTAAGCTCCACGGGTCCGCGAGGATCATGAGAAAAATAACAAAATAAGCACTCGCAAAGTGTAGCAAAAGCTTAAAAACGGAGTTGAGGTACAAATATAATCTCAGAAAATCTAATACACACTTGTAAACAGTTTCAAGAGGAAGGGTAAAAAGGCGGGTAGAGAGTAAAGAATCCTATCACATCACGTAGCAGATAGGAAATAAGGCTCATACGTCCAGCAGCATTAAAACGAGGTCAAATGAATC